TTTGAACCGATTCGGACCCAAGAATACCAAACCAAGCCGCTTATCGCAAAAATCCAAAACAATTCTTCCTTCAGAGCAAGAACTGAGAGAACCGTTCCAGAACAAGCCCAGAATAGTTCTATTATCTAAATAAACCAAAACGTTGTCAACACAGTTCGATTACGATTCTGAAAAAATGAAAACCCGTTTCTTTTTATAACGTGGGCATGTGCAGAATAATTCCGAACTAGTTCTGAGTGAAACCAAAACAAAGCTCAAGACAAAGCTTCTGCCGCTTCTTCTTTTTGCAAGTTTGTCTGTGAATGTTGCACTAAACTTGAAATGAGTACAAAAAAATCCCGCATCGTGACGTCACCAATTTAACTGATACTCTGAAAAACAAATAATCTAACCAGAAGAACATAGTGTGTAATTTTGGAGTATTCGGGAGTAAGGGATCAAACCTCATACAACTGTTTCAAACCTGTTTTGAACTAGTTTCAAAAAAGTGAAGGTGAGAAAACAGCTTGTTTTTGTAGAGAGACACCGACAATCCAAAATTGCAATAGTGCAATCAATCAGCTTGCCCAGGGCCGGATTAAGGGGGGGGCTTTGGGGGCTAAAGCCCCGGGCCCCGTAATGAGGGGGGCCCCAAAACCCAACCTCACACGGGGAAGAAATCATGCATATAATTTTACAATTTCGATTTCGTCATCTATTATCTAACAAATATATCAAACACAACACTACCCTATAATATTGGCGAAATTCCTATACCAATAGATGGCGCTAAATTACGCGAAAAATAGCAATACGTCTGCCGAACTCAGTGAATAACAAAGCCAGTTTTTTGAGATTGGTTTTTGTTAAATTGTGTTTTACGGTGTTTTTGTGATTTATATAACAGAAACAATACATAAAATGAATAATATTCTGTAGACAATTGAAAACTTCCAGAAACAATGCCGGGGGCCAAATGCAAACTTGCTTTGTTGTTCACTGAGTTTTGAGTACCAAAGTTGATCATAGATGTCGCCTACTTCGGGGCCTTTCGCGAATTATTCTTGAGTAGCTGGTATAATTATTGATAGATGGCGCACTATCCGCATAAAAGCTACAGTGACTTTATACAAGACAGTGGCGAAAATAGGAACCCTGAGGGCCCACCCGCCATGTTTTGTCAAAACAAAATTGCATAAAACTCCATAGGATTAAATAATAAAAACAAATTGCTTTTGTCAAAACATGGCGGATGAACTACGTTATTCTGAGAACGAATCAAAAATGAGACAACCCACTGTCGCCACTGTCTTGTCTAAAGTCACTGTAATAAATGCACCTGCAAGGTAAATAAGTTTTGTTTGAGTGACGTTTGAATTTATTTCAGGGACCTGGGGGGCCCCTTTTGTGAAAATAGCCCCGGGCCCCAAAAGACCTTAATCCGACCCTGAGCTTACCCTAAGCTCGAGGTACCCAATCGTCTTAGTTTCTATGTCATTGGGTCGGAATTCGAGCTTAAGCTTTGCTCGTTAATAAAAGTCACAGGCATGCTTCTATTCTAGGACACATAAGAGCCGCTTTCCAGTTGACCATTTTGAGCACGCAATCAAGCTTTTGCGTGCGCAAATGCTTCAAGCGTTTTTTTTTTTTTTTTTTTACGGATTGCGTGTTCGTGTTCCAGCCGTACTGCGCTTCGAGAGCTGCTAACTTTTGCGTTTAAAACACAGAACACTGTGCTACACCGTGATTGAAGCACACAGCTGGAAAGCGGCTATTATTAGGTCTGTTTCTGCAGAAAGCACAAAGCAGTCAGAGGGAATTTCATTGGTTGAAACTAGTTTTCTGACTGCACTGAGAAAATTCCCAGCAAAGAATTATTTCCTAAACTTTTTTTGGCTAAAGACAGGCAGAATTTTCTCGGTACCTATAAAAATACTTTTTTGGGCCAGTAAAATTAACTTTTCAGTCAAAGCTTTACTAAAAATGCATAATACGTTCTTGAAATAGAATAGTTTATTTCTTATTCCAGAAATCAACTTTTTTAACAAGCATCTAGGTATCTGCTTCACCAGAAATGTATTTTTCTAAAATGAATAAGTGCTTTGCTATTACTGGTAAAAATTATTTCTAAATTATTTTTTGCAAGAATGGCAAAGTACTTTACTACCATAGAAAAGAACATATTTGATTCGGGAGAGCACTTATCTATAAACTTTAGATCGGCTATTCTCGTCGCTCTTCGTTTCGCCGTTTCGCCAATCCTGGCGAAGCGTGTCCATCACCATCTTTTCTTTTCGCATTTCTGAGTTTGCATTCATAGACGACGGAACTACGCGGAAGGCCTCTTGTTGGTACTGTGCTCAATCTGGCTGACGCCGTTTGGCCAACATCTTGATTATTTTTTTTATTACGGTACATAGTTCTAATAATAATTATTTATATTGTAACCACAGAATTTTTTTTTTTTTTCCAGCAACTGAAATTATTTCTATTGGCGATTTTACCACCTCGTATAACCAACCCAATGGTTTTTTCCTCTAATTTCAAGCTTTAAAAAATTATAGGTTTAACTTATGAAGAGCTGGATTTTCCTAGTGCGGCTAGACCAATCGTTGGTTAAGTCCGTTAGTTAACAAATTATCCTTAGAATGTGCCACACAAAAACAATATCATATTGACATCCACACAATCTAAGGTTTTGTTAACTAACAAGACTTAACAAGCGATTGATCCAGCCGCACTATAAGTAGAAACAAACAAAAAACTGCTGGAAAGACATATTTCTGTGGTAGCATAAATATTTGCTAGAACTATAAATAATTCGCCTGTAGGTGGATAATATTGTTCCTATTGTAAAAAAAAATATCTGAAATAAAAATAAATCCTTTTCACAGTAGAAAAGGATATAACTATAATAGTAAACAACTGGCCCATTTCTGCAAAGTGATTCTGCTGTTTTACAAAAGAAGCTTTCCTGGTTCAGAAAAGACACTTTATAAAAATACTTTACTACTATAATAAAGAGAATGCAGCAAAGTGAACTTTACTGCAGTAGCATAATTCTCTCTTAACGCCTATTTTAAAAGATTTTTCAGCTAGAATAACAGAAAAACTTACTGTGGTGATGAAAAAATTTTCTCAGTGTGTTTCTGACTGTTTTCAACCAATGAAATTCGCTCTGACTGGTTTGTGATAGAAACAGACCTAATATCAAGTCCAAATCACACCAAAGTCCTGCGACGATCGGCAAGTTGCGACGGGAGCATGATAGTGTAATCGTAGTCTGAAAGCTTTTTTTAGTGACAAACCAGCCGGAGGCGGCGGATAGCGTCCTTGCGTTCGGTATTTTGCTCGAAGAGCAGAGCGTGCAGAGTGGAGCCGTAACCACGTGACCAGCGAGCGAACAGAGCAGTTGAACGCTGTATAAAAGTGCCAGAAATTTTAATAAACGAACGCGAATGAGCATACACCGAGTACACTTTTTGAATAAACGAACGGTAAAGTCAAGCTCGGAGAACTCAGACCAAAATAACGAACGCACGGCGTGATCACCGTCTTGCTCAAGGATTGGCTGTCGAGCAACTCGTGTGCCAAGGATGATACACACTACTACTACAGGATGGCCTATCCTCATAAGGCCTGTGTGTAACAAAGGCCATCCTGTAGTAGTGTGTATCATCCTTACTACCTCCCCGCGCCAAACAACCAGTTGTGACGTAAAAGGCATGGTGTTTCTCGCCTTGACGTAGGCTTTTCAACCGACTAATAGCCGAGCTAATAGCGTATTTCATTGGTAGAGCAAGGGCAACTCTGGTGCAATATTCGTGATCCATTGGCAGAGTCCGCGTTGCACTTTTGTATTTCATTGGGAAAGCAATGCACTGAGTTCGGTTGGTGCGCCACCAGCTAAAAAGCTCCTGTCGCCCTCAGTGCAGTTCTTCTTTTCGGTGGTTAATGCTTTTTCATCAAAAAAAGTGCCAAATTTTATTTTTTTATTGCGTTTTTTATATTTGTCTGCGAATCTACTACCAAAATCTCAAAAATCGCTTGTTGATGGCAATTGCCTTGATGCAAAGTAGCAGCAGCAGTGAAACCAGTGAATATGAAGAATATTTAGGGCTTCTAGCACAGAGGGAACAACTTTTTTTTAAATTAAATTATAATAATTATTTATATTGAGCACAAATATCATTTTTTTAGTGAAATTCCATATTTAAGGTTTGACGTATATGATGGTGCAGTACGATGATGTTTCATTGGGACTGCTCGCGTGCAGTGTTTTCAAAGTGTCAGTGCAAAACGAGTGTTGCACTTGCTCTACCAATGAAATACGTTATAAGTTATAACGTCGGCAATGGTTGAAAACCAATATGGCGGCGATTACCAGAAAACGAGGCCGATAAGCACTCCTTAGAGTGTGTATTCTCCTTGCTCGTGTGCTGCATCCGTGATTAAGCAGCCCTATTTAGGATCCGCTCTGCTCACCCTGGAAGGAAAGGGGCTAACGGTGCCCTAAACAATCTTAACATAGCCAGTCAACAACTGCCCGACCGACGGGCTAACCGACCGAACCCCGTCTAGAGGGTGCACCCTAATCAGAGTCGCTTTCCAGTGACGCACTTTAAGCCAGGATGTGCTATAAAGTCTACTTTACGCGGTTTGTCTACTCGTTATTTACGTATTGTTTACATCCGCTTTTTTACATGTAGACTTCCGACGATCCTAGGTTGGAATCTTATTAGAATCATACCGTTCGAGGCGACAGGGCTGGCATCGAGTTGCGTCTCGCTGTCGAGTCGTGCGTCGAATCGTGATTTTAGAATCCCTACCAGAACTAGTATTAGAACAGTCCTCTAATATTTTTTGTGTGCAAGCAGTTCTGCGCAATCCCAGAACTGTTCCAAATTTCGAACCAAAACAAAGCTAGAGTGTCTGTCAAAAGGAACTGTCTTTGACGATGTCAAAATCATCAATTGTCAAGTGTATCGAAATGACACTCAAATAAGTCAAAAATCAAAAATGAAGAATGAAAATATAACAAACAATAATAATGTCATGTTTCTAATTAAAAATATCTTCGAAAAAGATAAAATGCCCCCAAAAAAAAACCCTTTTAGCCGCATTCAAAGCAATACATGGAACTAGAGATGTGTTAGATAAATTAAGTGGAGTACCTGACCTAAAAAAAAAATATGGGTTGGTTAATGAGCTGTTGTGAATGCAAATCCAAAGAAGAAAAAATCACCGAATTGGATTTTTCTCGCTGTGGAATCTCTGAGGTACCCAATGAAGTATACGTTAGCTCTCCTACCTTGGAAGTGTTGCATTTGGAAGGAAATAAGGTAAAAAGTTTCTCAAACATAAACAAGAATTTAGACAAGAATCTCCCAAACTCAACCTATGCCTTACCTAGCTACTTATTTATAAATGTTTCCCAAATATCAGTTACAACTAATGTGTCTAGTGTCTTGGAACTACACATTTATCTTTAAGTATGGTGTGGAGGGAACTATTAACATGACTGATAGCCGCCTTTCAAACCCTAACATCGTAGAAACTTCACAGAATCCATGTTTTCCCTTATTTTCTTTTTGGTGCCAAAGATGGTTTCATCTTTCAAGTTTCAGAATGTTTAACGCTCGGTTTAACGATTTTGAACCCACTGCTGCCACCAAGACTGTCACACTTGCATCTTGCATAGCTTTTCGTTTTACCTTGCTGCATTCAAGTGCCTTTCCCCTGACAATACTTTATCTTGTTGAGTGTCTGTAATGTGATTGGTTTGATAACTACTGTGTTCAGATTGATGTTAGGCTAGGCTAGGTGTAAATTATTTGTTTCTATAGCAGCATTTCCTTGCAAAAAATCTAATACAGTTTTCGGTAGCTGTATATAGGTACCGGGATAGGTACATTGTGAAAGTTTATATTGGTTGATTTTTCCCTTTGAAATTTACATTGAAATCCCTATGGATTTTTATTTACCTATATTTATATATATATAATGTGCTTTACAAACACTAGGTATTAGAGATGAATTTTTCTTTAGAGATTATAAAGTCAATAGTTGCTACCTGAATATGTCTCGGTTATGCAAATTGGAAAAATGTATAAAAAACATTATATGTACTTAATTTCGACTCTAGAAAACTAGTTAGTAAGTTGAAACTGGTTCAGGTGGATGAACTTATGACAAAAAAACCTGTTGATAATTTGATCCAATTGGCTCACATTACAGAGAATAATAGTTTACTATATAGATAAATAGCTCGATAAATAGAGACTATTTTTTAGGATAGATAATAGTAATGATAATGAGTATTTTTCAACTATGTATGTTACTAAATGTGCAGTCAATAAGAAATGAAATAAATAAATTCCACATTTTTTTAGATAATATAGGTTTCCTAGAAGTGCTGCTTTCAACTGAACATTGGCTTGCCACTAATGAACCAATATTGTTTCCAGAGTTAAAGGTAGTATTTTATCAAAATATTCGAGTTCAGGCTCTAGTCATGGAGGTACCCTGATATTGGTTCGCAGTTCATTATTAAATGTTTTTTCATTTGTTGATTTTGATAATTTTAACCATATGATTGTTGAAAAAGAGCTGGAATTTCCAATAATTAATGTACCCAAATTGGTTTTTTTTTTTTTGGTTGTTCGTACAGGGTGGTCCAAATTGGACACTTTCTTATGGAAACACCCTTTATTTTTAGAGATAGAAAAAAATGAACCCCCCGCTCAAATTTCATGAATTTTGATTGGTGCAAACCGCATTTTGATATCTTCAACCGTTTAGCCGCTAGAGGGCGATTCTTGATTTTGAACAATACTGTGAAACCTTCATAACTTTTTTGTTTATGAAAATAATTGATTTCCGTAAAGACTTTCTAGAAGCACTTTTTTAAGAAGAATTTAGTGACGTTCTCAGTTTTTTTCTAATTGACTCGGACTTCGAGATATTGATCAAAATCCGATTTTTTTCAATAGAACATCCTATATATTAATAGCTTATTGAAAAGCTCTGCTTTTGCTGATTTCAATGATATAAAGTTCGATAGGTTTATTCCTAACAGTTTTCGAGAAAAAAAAATTATTTCTGTTTTTGTCGTAAGAAACAATGTGTTAGAAAGAGACCTTTCTCGTTTTCCTTACAGATATAAAGTCCCTTTTCAACACATTGTGTTTTATGATAAAAACCGAAATAATTTTTTTCTCGGAAACCGTTGAAGATAATCCCATCGAATTTTATATCCTTGAAATCAGCAAAAGCGTAGCTTTTATTTTATTTATTTTTTTATTTAACTTTATTTCAGATTACAGTAACATACATAAAAATATACACATAAACTATGAAATGAAATAGCGTCACAAAAAAGACCTTACACCTAATGTTACTCAGAACAATTACATTATCTTATATCCAGTTATATATAATTCAAATATTCTTGTATACTATATGTTTCCAACTCAATAAGTATTTTTTTCAGTTTACTTTTAAACATTTTTTCTTGTGTCATTATTTTTAATTCATTGTTTAGTTTATTGAAAAGTTTTATTCCCATGTAACATGGACTTTTTTCCAATAATGTTAACCTGTGCCTCGGAAAACAAATATTATTTGCTCTAGTGTTATAATTATGACTAGCATCAATAGCATTAAACAATTGCATATTCTTGAAAGTAAATAAAATTGTCTCATAGATACCTATATAGAGCGTAAATTGTCATTATCCCTTTTTTCCTAAATATTCCCCTGCACGATTGTAGGGGGGACATTTTATACATTGTTCGTATTGTTCGCTTTTGAATAATTATAATTCTATAATTCTATAATTAACCAATAGCAGGCGGTGAAACCGATGAAGCTATTGTGTCTTTTGATATGAGAGTTTGTTTCTGTTTATACACCATAATGAACCATCCTATTAAAGTCCTGTTTCAATTCAGAGTCCACTTTGTTCTTAAATGCATTAATAGAAACGACGGAAATTGTTTCTTCCTGTAGAGCGTTCCAGGAGTACACAACACGATTCACTAAGAAGTTTCTTCTTACCATTTTCGATGTCTTTTCTTTCTCTAGTTTTTTAGAATGGCCTCTAAGCTGGTTATTTTGACTTGGATGAAAAAGGTTTTTAATATTGCACTGATAGTGGCCGTTAGTTATTTTAAACGTCTCTATTAGATCTCCCCTGTGTCTCCTCTCTCTAAGGGTTGTAAGATTGAGCCTTTCTAACCTTTCTGTATATGGTAAGGACCTAAGTTCTAGAGGAATTTTTGTAACTCTTCTCTGAACCCTTTCTAGGAGTTCAATGTCCTTTATATAATAGGGATTCCACACAGTAAATGCATATTCAACTTTTGGCCTTATGTAACTTTTGTACAGCTTCGTTATCATTTCCACTGAATGGTCCCTAAAAGCTTGCTTTATGAGATATACAAAAGAGTTTGCTTTTTTCGTTATTTTCTTTATATGAGTCTCCCATTTCAGATCAGATGTTATAATGACTCCTAGATCATTCTGTTCTTTCACTGATGTGAGGGTCGTGTTATTAAGAGTATACTGTGTGTTTGGATTGTTTGGCCCAATTCGAAGCACTGTGCATTTTGATGCGTTTAGCTTCATCCCCCATGTTCTGGACCAGCTTTCAATATTTTCTAGGTCTGTTTTAAGTAAATGGGCACCAATAAGTGGATTAATGTACAGTTTTCCATCGTCTGCAAAGTTTTTCATTGGACACTGTATGATGTCAACCAAATCGAAGAGGTAAACAGTAAAGAGTAAAGGTCCCAGGACCGAGCCCTGGACAACTCCGCTGCTCACTGGATGCCGGTTGGACAATACTCCATTAGCTCTGACTTTGTAGTGTCTTTCATTAAGTGAATCTGCTATTAACGTTAGCAGCTGTCCTCGTACTCCAAAGTGCTCTAATTTGCCAATAAGTAAGTTATGTGGGACTTTGTCAAACGCCTTTTCATAGTCAAGATACACCACATCAGTAGGCTGCGATTTATCGTGGTTTGCTGTCCAATCGTCTAGGCATTCTAGCAAATTTGTGGTTGTGGAGCGCCTTGGAAGAAAACCATGTTGGGATGTGGGAATAAGATCATTAGTTTGGAAAAAGGCTGTTAGTTCCTCAACAATGATTTTTTCCATGCACTTCAGTGGGTTACATGTTAAGCTGACTGGACGATAATTTTCTGGTTTGTGCCTATCTCCTTTTTTAAAAATTGGTGTTACTATTGATTGTTTCCACTCCTTAGGGATAGCACCGGTTTCCATACATTCATTCATCACTTCTGCCAGATGTGAGCTTAATGAATTGCTGCAATTTTTTAGGAAGATCTTTGGTATGTTGTCTGGTCCTGGGCTTGAGTCTGTTTTCATTCTCTTTAATGCGCCACTCACTTTTTCCTCGGTAAAGTGCATTGTATCAATTGAGTTTTGGGCTCTAGTGCAAACAGGGAGTGGTGGCATTGCAAAGGTTTCCTGTGAAAAGGCTTTGTTAAATTGTTCTGCAAAGGTCTTGGCTGTGGTTTCGTTGTCTAGCACTTCAAGCGTAGTTAAATCTTTCAGAGATATAGTTGTCACTTTTGAATTTAAGTTTTTGCTGATGTATTTAAAGATCTTCTTTTGTGATTTATCTTTAACCAGTCCATGTTCAAATTTTGTTCTGGCTTGAGTAAGCTTTTGTTTCAGCCTGTTATTTTGAGCAGTATATACTTGATAATTTTCAATTGTTAATAACAAATATATTTTGTGCCCTAGAGTTGGATGCCCAAAAAATTATACCGTATCTAGCAGTACCTTCAAAATTTGCAAAATACAGTGTTCTACGCGATGTCTCATTCATATACCTTGAAACAGTGCGAATGCAAAAACAAATGCTATTCAACTTATTTTCTAGGCGCCCAATATGGAAAGACCAGTCTAAATGTTCATCCACATGTACGCCCAAAAATTTGGTATCGTTTTTTAATGTAAGTTGATTTCCGTTGACTGAAATATATTCAGGTTTCTCTGTTCTGTTTAACTTGGTTCTGAATAGAATGGCATTTGTCTTCCCTGTGTTTAAGCATAATTTATTTTTCTTGAACCAATTTTCAGTTTCTGGGAATAAAAGAGAAGTTTTTTCAACAATTTTCTGCAAATTTGAGCCACTGACCAGAACATTTGTGTCATCCGCATATTCTGTTAATTCATCATTAATATCTGAGCATTCTGTTTTGATGTCATTCATAAAAATTATAAATAAAATTGGTCCCAGTATGCTGCCTTGGGGAACCCCTACTGTATTTTGCAAAATCTCTGATTTATATGAAATTCCGTTTTCAATGAACTATTAATATATAGGATGTCCTATCGAAAAAAAATCGGATTTTGGTCAATATCTCGGAATCGGAGCCAAATAGAAAAAAGCTGAGAACGTCACGGAATTCCACTCAAAAAAGTGCTTCCAGAAAGTCTGTACTTACAGAAATGAATTATTTTCATAAATAAAAAAGTTATGAAGGTTTCACAGTATTGCTCAAAATCGAGAAATGCCCTCTAGCGGCTAAATGTTTGAAGATATCAAAATGCAGTTCGCACCAATCAAAATTTCATGAGATTTGAGCCTCAGAGTGGGGGGTTCATTTTTTTGTATCTTGCTCAGAAATTGACGTTTCCTATTAAAAGTGTCCAAATTGGCCCACCCTGTACAGACCACCCAGTGCAGACGCTTCTATGTTTATATCTAAGTTAGAATTGCTCGTTTCAGGTTTTCCTTTAAATGCGTGGATAATTTTGTCAGGTGATTTCAACATAAACTTTGCTGATAAAACATGAATTCATTCAAAATTTGTATCTAATTTGCTTGACTCTTTTGGGTTAACTAAGCATGTGGAAGAGCCTACATGAGTAAATTGACTGCGATACGTCATAGGTTTTGGGATCCAGGGTCGTATTTAAAACAATAAAGTTGATAATGGTGGCCAAAAGATGAAACATCAAATTTCAAAATTGATAATGTCATCTTGTAGAGTGGAAAAGTGGTAACGATGAAGTGACATTTATTTTGAAATTTCTCCTCAAATAAGCTCAGGAAAAAATGAAATCGTTTTGGCAAAATTTCGGTTTTTTCTGGATATCTCAGAACATGTTCGGAATTGTTCAAATGTTAAAGTACCATTTTATTGAGCGTTAAATTTCGCATTTTTCCCCCATTTAACCATTGCCGTATCTGTTACCGTTTATGGGATTCCCATGATAGACATCCTTATCTTGGACACCCATAAAAAAAAAACCGGGTATTTAAAACATAAAACTTGTTTATCTGATATGGCTGGATTCCATTTTCCACGAGCTTTCCATAAAAAAAAAAGTTGTGGTAGCTGGGGGTTATGGGGTTGGAATTTTTTTTAATTTAAATGATAAATGTGAAAAAGGCAAAATCAATTAACGTGTTTCAGCGTTCTTGCAAAAATTACTTGCTGAAAAACTATGACCTTTAATCCAGACTTTTGGCCATCCCTGTATATTCTGCAACATCTTTAATTACTTTGATAGGCAAATAAATGATTATCTCCTAATGATTTATTGTTTTTAAGTTTTTTGATAGTTTGGAGAACTTCCTGGGAATTACTTGGTCGTAAAAACACAGATTGCAATGACCTTTCAGGCAGAGAGGCATTGCCACTGTTTCTGTTTCTATTCATTTCCGGGCATGACTTTATGAAGTACTTGTTCAGTTGCGTTACGATTTTATAGGAATCACGGTATTTCTCTGAGAAGTTTTCGAGAGTTGTATTGTTCTGTTGCTTGCAAAAGTTATGTTCCTTACTAGTTGCCTTCTTGCTTTGACCTTATTTTCGGACTCTTCAAGAAATCTTTGACCCGACAAAATCTTAGTTTTTCTTTTTTCAAGATTCCACTAATTATTTGTATGTATATTTTTGAAAATCACAAACTTACCTTTTTTTTAATATAATTAGGTCAAGATATAGGTAGGTACTTGGAAAGTGATTCTGTTTGTTTGCTAAGTTGAAAGAAAAAAAATAATAAACCAAGATCTTCCGTAGCCTCAATCATAGCATTCATAGCCCTTTGCATATTCTCATGTGAATTACCAAGCTTAAGTATTCCCAAAAGCATTTGTAATAATTTTATTTTATTTTTTCTCATTTTTATATCGATTCCACTCGGTACCTACCAGTTTAAGTAGGTGAGTGCATTGAGTTTACTAGGTATTTCTAATTATTCAGTCTAATTTCTGGTCAAGAATCTATCTGAAAAATAAAAATAATAAATTTGTTTGAAATGTTCAGGAAAATTAGGCTGGAAACATCGCAAATTAAATTTCTAGTTTAATAAGAATTACCCAGGGAGATACCTAAACATAGGTATTTAAGATTTGTGCAGTAATTATCCCAATAAAAATAATGGCATAGTTTTTTATATTGCAGCTGACTGATTTATCACCTCAACTCTTCCAATGCATAGATCTGCGCTACTTAAATATCAGCGACAACGAAATTCACGCAATACCACCCCTTATATCCAAACTTAGCAATTTACAAGCATTGATTCTTAGCAAAAATGGTAAAGAACATTTTCTCCAATAAGTCTTGTTTTGGTAACAGTCAGAACCAGTGCGAAAATCATTGTCTGTTTAACTACTTTGAATGGTTCTGATTGAAACGGAAACAAATATATCATCTGTTCTCTTGCTGACTATTTAACCTTGTTATTAGTTTTAGACGGTGTCCATCCAAATGTAGACAAACTTAACAAACTCACCATACTAGATTTAAGTATGAACGATTTGGGTAAAGTTCCAGAAGCTATCATGAGCCTGATAAACTTGCAGCAACTTTGCCTCAACGATACAGGTATCGATTTTGTTCCGGCCAACATTGGGAGGCTGTCAAATTTGAGGATTTTGGAGTTGAGGGACAATAAATTGTGTGAGCTACCCAAATCTATTAGGCGGCTGACTGCATTGCAAAGGTTGGATGTTAGCGATAATAACTTGGCAAGTTTGGTAAGTCGGATTTTCAGTAAAACATGCATTATTTTGCTAAATACAAAACTAATTATTTTCAAATGTTAAGTATATATTGAAATTGACGGTAATCGAAAAATTGGGAGAAAAATGTTTTGATGTTTCAAAATGCATCAGACACTTTTTTAGGAGATCCTTCCATTTAAATCTAGGGCAAACCAATCTATAAAGGATGAAAAATGTCAGCCTTGTCATTATAATATTCTGTTACCCTATAATATATGCCCTATTTCTGAGGTATTTCGTGAGAGATTTTTCAAAATTCCGGTCTATCTCAAATAATTATTATTCCTCTATGTTCTTTGATCTTTAATGTCTTCAATGCTCATTGCGATATTGATTTAGGCTGTTTCTGGCTATTGGCAGAGAAGCCCTGTCCAAGTTTCTGGTGTGGAAAGGATGCTGAAAACCTGAATGAAAACCCTTGTGGTTGAAGAAAAACTTTCCTCAGCATAAATAAATATTCAGTATTGCCAAAAAAAAAAACAAAAAGAAACAAATAACAGTTTGAAAAAATTATGTCGGGCAACCCTACAGATACCTGATAAACTGCGATATTTATAAAATTCTTAATAAATAGAAAAAAAAATTGATTTCATTTTAAGCATTTTTAGAATATTTTTAATTTAGAGAACCTTAACTATGTCTTTGTTTTTAGACTGAAATCAGCGAATCTCACGGTAATCTAACGGAACTATGGATCAATGGCAACCAAATCACTCATTTAACCCCCTCTATAACCCACTTAAAGAAACTCAATGACTTTGACGCTTCAAACAACCAACTAGAAACTGTTCCCAAAGAAATAGGCCACTGGACTAAAATCACAAATTTGATTTTGAGCTTCAACAATTTGACATCTTTACCAAAATCTTTAGGAAATCTACGAAATTTACAAATTTTAAAATTAGAATGCAACCAGTTAGTTGCACTACCGGTAACCATAAGCAAACTTGTGAATTTAGAAGAACTGAACTTGCAAAATAACTTATTGGCTTCCTTGCCGCAAGGTGTGGGTCATTTAAGACAGTTAGCAACTTTGATTTTGTCAGATAATAAGTTAACAGCATTGCCAAAAGAGATTGGCAGTTGTCAGGAGCTATCAATATTAAACTGTCATAATAACTTACTTGAAAATATTCCAGAGGAATTGGGCCATTTACGTAAACTAACCACTTTGGGGCTGATTGGCAACAGGTTGTCGTATTTACCAATAACCATAAGTAAACTTACCAATTTGAAAGCTCTGTGGTTAACCCCAAACCAGACGCAACCGTTGATTCACTTGCAAAACGACCAGATTGACGGGAAAGTGGTTTTGACATGTGTGGTTTTTCCCCAAGTACCACAAAGGGTGCCAGTCGAAGTGGAAATTACACAAAATAGTGGTCAGAATGGGTCTCATTTTTTGGGACAATCTCAGCAAGGTTGCCATATTAGTTTTAATAATGCCGTGGAGAGAGAAGTGAGTAAGAGTGGAGGTGGCGGTGGTGGGGCTCTGAGTAGGACTCCTACGCCGCACTATAAGGAACTAAAGCGTTTGAGGGAGGTTTGGAGGAGTAATGGACCAGGTGAGGAATCTTATTTATTTATTTATTTACTTATTTAGCTATCCACAAATAAGTTCGCCCCAATCACAGATCTTACACGATTAACAATACACTCATTACAGGTGCTCCATTTACGAGAAGAAATAGTTTTATACTATATCTTGAAAACGGCAAGTATGGCAACATTGTCGATTCCATTCCTGAATTGAGCGTCACCAATAAATCCTTTTAAAACACCCTGTATATACATATATGCGTTTGTTTGGTTGCTCTTATTCCAGGTGTTCATCCCTTAGTTCTCCACTGAATGTTGAGAAACACTTGATTCTGGACGACTTTTCGCCAAAATCGCATTTGGTATTTACAAATCTTCTTCCTTGTTGGTTGGTGTTGGACGCTAGACACCAAAATAACTAATTTTCAAAAAGGGGGGAAAAAAACTTATGTTCTGGTGCTAATTTTCTTCTGTGATGGCTTGTCAAACCATTAACAGTTGCCTCATTTTGATGTTTGAAAAAATATACATATATGTGAAGAAAAAGTTGTAACGACTTTTACCCAAATATTAATAACAGCCAAGAACCAAAATCTCAAATTTCACAATTTTTGACCAAGCAGTTTGACTGTAATTTCCTCTTGATCTGTCATGATAAGCAGCCTCATGTTTTTCCTACATATTGTCATGGCTCTGTGGTGCATGACAGAAATCTTGGTTCCGTTTATTCAAAATCAAAGTCGAATTAACACAACAATAATTAATTCCACGTTACTATACACTCTGACACTAATTACTGCTCTAATTAACTCAAACCACTTAACTCTTTACAACTCTTACAATATTCACAATCTTAAAACTAAACTACTAACTAATACCGGCCTTAATATATCCGCGTAATCCATTCTTGTAAAATCCAGAAGAACGCAATAGCGTCCTTTCCTGAATAAGGCAGTATTTTCGGGAATTCGGTAATTAGATTCTGTGCGCCCTGGCGGATGCGCCACATTTCGTTACAATATCAATTCAATACCGGGCCGGCTCCCATTTACTATAATTGACTAAAATATATTAGGTATTCAATATTTTAATAAATTATTGAATAACATTTCACCACTAAGCAGTTCATTCCCATACTCTTCGCCACCTTTTTGCGTCAGAAATTACTAGCTAATCAAAATGTTTTTCTTAGTCAAACACATCTTAAAAAAAAACTAAAAAAAAATAGGCTACCATTCTACTAGCTATTTGAATGTAAACCGAACTTTTTTATTTTGCAGTGAATCAAGCTTTGAATGTGTCCGAAATAAAACAAGCGAAAGTAACCCACATATCGGCAGACAATCTCGTTGATCGTGAGAGTGACATTTTAGACAACCTATCTGAGAGAGGCGATCCTCCCAAACAACCTCCGCCCTATCATATTGCAGCTGCGTACTCAAAAAATGCTCATCTTTTTGCACACAGTCCACCAATCAGTCCTCACGATCAGCCGAAACAGTTCAGCCAACAACAGCCTGCAAATATTCACATGCCCACACCAAAAATGGCTAATCGGTTCAGGCTGGAGGCCAATAATGGCCTACAGTTAGATAGGAAAATTGTAATGAAATCGATATCGACGAATACTGATGAAGAAGGGCAGGGTGCAAGAGTGAATTGGCCTTTTGGACAGCACACTGTGTGTAAAGTGATGGAAATTGAAATGCCAGAGTTTCATGAGGCTGGGGATTTTCAGATTGCAGCTAGAAATGATGTGAGTAACTATGAATGTTTTTATTTTCTTGTATTTTTACAATAATTGTGGATTGTGCCTGTATACATGTAGTAATAATTACCTACCTACTGTTGTTACTTCTGCTGTTATTGCTCCAAGACGCGATTTAGATTTGCACAGGCATTTTTTGAATTTAGTGGATTCACCAGTTAGTCACCAAAAGTAAACCAAAGATTTTAATCCAAACCAGTTTTAATGACGGTATGAATACATAGTTGAAAAAGCATTGGCACAAGTTTTAGCTAATAAATGATCACAAATATTATCAATGTACAAGTCCAAATTGTATTAAATTATAAAAGTTCTTGGACCAATTATTTTGTAACTGCTTACTAAAAACAAAACAGAGCTATTATTTATTTTCTCTATCAGGACATTAATCACTATATTATTTATCTGTTATCTTATTTGCACTTACGGTATGTCAAATAAATATCTTCCCATTCATCGTCAAAAGCATAGTCACGTATAGATCATAGGTCTGGCCACTAAAGCACAGAACCGCCAAAATGATACTGGAACTAAATGGAAACAAAACAGCGATATATTATGTACATTTGCAATTCGAAATATAAGGCCTTCCTTAATGTATGCATTTAGGATGTTCCATTTGAAAAACTGCGAGGTTATTACATTTTGATCTGATCTAAAACCTGGCAGTACAGGTATTTCTTCTGTATCTATTTATTTGGTTGTCTTATATTTGTTTTCATATCTTTGGTGTTAATTGTTCCTATGTATCTTACTACTTTTAATTTTATCATTTTTTTTTCGGGTATTTTTGCCTCGAATTTATTTTTCAGCTTTGTTTCCACAGCATTGTTTTCTTTTCCTCTTTATTATTTTGTAGAACCATTATCATGCGTTGGTGCCTTTGGAGCGCCCAACCCCTACTTGCACTTTATAATGCTTATCACTGTTATAAATCATATGGAATGCGAAATTGTCAGATCTACGTTTTTCCTATGTTCCCCAAGTCGTGCACATTCCGACAACACAGCATGCGGGTCTCCAGAAGTGACTCCCCAAATACGAAGTCACTCTTCCATAGGGATTAAAATTACAGAGGTAACCCTTAATTCCGCCTGTCGTGGAATCTACTAGCTTCACACTATCATCAGGGTTGCCCAAAAGATACATGAAGCTTTCCGTAGATCTAATGCTCGGCAGCGCACTAGCCAATTAAGACGAATCTGTACTTCCAGGTCATGTGGTTCATGTCCAGGACACACTGAGAATGGTTCAGGATTTTACCAGGATTAGACTTCATCTCTGAACAGTGACAGAATGAAGACACCAGTTATTGAACACTTTCCATAAAGGTGAGGCCATCTGATTGCATCAATCACAGCAAATGAAGGGGGAACCACCATGCAAGATCGTCAAGAAGATCAACAACTTGGTGTGCAGGATTGTCGACAAAACTCAACACTGAAGCCAAATTTACGTTTTCCCGAAGTTGGAGAAATTGTGCACACCCTCGCAGCCCCTGTATGCCTGAAGACCAGAATTTTCCAGAATGGAATTTGGCGTTAGTGGGGTGATCTAGCTAATTGTGGAACAATCGGGGTTTGATGTTTCTTGGAGGTTCCTTCGGGAAAGCTGACTGGAAAGTTATACATATAAGGATCTAGGCGCTGTGTGGGGGGCCGCAACAACAGGGTGAGTCCGTCGTGTAATAGAAAGTTGATGAGTTATAGTGATATAATTTTGAGTGATTCGAAGTGTTGTAGTAGTCTTTTACCAGCTATTTTTTATTTGTCATTATAGAGATTTTTGTGTTTTTGTAATAATTAAAGTTTATTCAAGTAAATTTGTAGTAGTTTCACTTTTCTGCGAACCCGTATACCTTATCCTATATGGAGTTTATAGTATGTTCTATATCCACCATCTTTCGGTTCAACAATCGGTAGGTGTACCGCCTTGTCATTCATTCTCGTTATTTCCAAGTATTTACAAAGAATATAAGACCGAAATATGGGACATTGGTTTTTTTATTCCGTTCCTAAGTTCGCTTATTTAATTTTTATTGTCACTTTTCCATTATTTGTCTTACAATAGATATTTACCATATTCCAAAATCTTTTCGCATTTTCAGCAGAAAAATCACTGCTGATTGCTGAAACTCCTTTGTAGTTGATTAAAATCAACCAAATATTTGCACCTTTATGCCAAAATAAAATAAAATACAGGTTGTTTTAATTTAAAAAAAAAAACCTAAAAGTCAATTATTCACATACTTATTGACAAATCTTTTTTATGGTTATAGGGTATTTTCGTGGAAGAAGTCAGCCCACAAGGTGCCCTCTACGCGAAGCTCTATCCGGGTGACAAAATATTAGCTTTTGATGAGACAGATTATACTCTTATTGACTCTCTAGCTTCATATCAGGATGCGACACGTCGTATAGGCAACGTACGCGTCGTCACTATATCTCGAAGACATAATATATCTTAGGGCCATTTTGAACTAACTAGTTATTTTGAATAAATGGCTCTTAATTTATTATTATTTGTATTTTCTGTATTATGGTATTTATTTTATCGGTGTATATTTTTTTTTGCAATTTTGTATCTCAGTTACTATAATATGTTGTATGTTGCTGGTTTCTTTAGTTGTACAAGTAATTACTCATATTATGTTTATGTTGAGTTTGTTGTGATTGTTCTTGAATATTCTTTGATTTTTGAAATATGTTCACAAACCATAATTTTATCGCCCAATGCATTGATATTGAAATTTCGAAGAAGTTACTCATTAGTAATGTTTAAAAATATGTATGCCATGTCATCCCCTTTGCATATTGTTGCTAAAATGTAGGACGCTTTCTAAATCATGTTCCATACCTTAAATAAACAACACATGGAAAATAGTGTTGAGGCGATTTTCTAAAAAGATAATTTATTATTATTTTAATGGAGCTTTTGAAATACATCAAAATAACGAACTCTCAAAAGTTTTTAGCTTACAGCCAATTAACAACTTCCTAATTTTAAAATACATCATTTGAATACTTATTGAAAAAAATCTTGAAAACTTTTTCAAAAGAGCAGTTTATAAGTAGGAAGATATTGTTCCTGCTTTGGTTAGTAATGTACATACAGATTGGAAGAAAAAAGCAATGTAAATCGTGATTTGATTCTTCTTCAAGCTTTCAACAGACAAAGTGAACACAGAATGTCAGAATTTTTGTGCAATTGTCAATTTTGCATTTTTCAGGTGTAGGGAATGATTTAAAGTGGTTCTTAAATTTCACCAAGAAAAATCAAAGTAAAAATTCTAGAAGGTAGTTGTGTATTGCCTAACTGGACCTTATATATTTGTATTTTTATATCAATAAGCATGTTCTGCGCTAGTAGCCCTTTATCTATTTTTTATGTGCCATTTAATCCAGTAACTTCCATATTAATAACTAACATCATATTATATTATAATATTTATTTATTTGTATCAGAATCTGTGATGTATGTATTTTTATGGATTTCTTTGTTTACTCAAAAGGAACCTATATTTTTGTCGAGTAGCAGACAATCCTTTTTCATCTGTTAAGTTTACAGAAAAATCTGTGTGTGTTTACCTGTTTTTTTTTTATGTAAGAATAATAATAATTATAGAATGTGGAATCTCCCAATGTTGCCAAACAAAGCAAAAATCTTGTACAACTAAACAACCTATATGGAGAATAATTTAGTATGTATTTCTTTAACAGGCTGTGAAATTAGTTTTTCTACTATTTAGATTTAAGTTTTTTTTTTATATATTACAATACTTTTTGGTATTTACTTTATTATTAAAGGTTTGTTCCGACAGTATCAAATTATTTGAAAACAAATTGTTATTTATCAATTTTCAAAAATTCCTATATTATCTAAATGATTTTATTCTATGTTGGACCAAAACCACCTTATTCTAATTATTGTATACCTACTTACTCGATTTTAATATGAAAATGCTTGTAAAATAAATGTCTTATATATTGTTATTAAATTTAATAATTCGATTATACAGGGTGTCCACTTAGTGCGATATCGGACTATATCTCCTTACAGGGTGATGCAAGAAAAAAAGATTAAATTACAAAGTTGTTTGATACTCTAATATGCATTAGTTAAAAATATTTTCGATTATACATGGTGCTCCGTTAATGAGGTATGCTACAGAACTTTGTTATTTTAAATGGAACACCCTATATATGATTGCATATTTGGATTCTACGTAAAATTCTGAGCAGATTTCATGTAATATACCCCATACCTAAGTTAAACTGTTTTCGAAATATTGACAGTTGAAAATTGACTTTTTGCAACTTTGACAGGCTGTAAAACCTTAACGGTTAATTTAAGAGGAAACCGATTTTACATTCCTGTCTTAGATTGTCATGAACTATCATTTGACACCATTTTTGAATTTAACCGGAAATTAAATTTAACTGGAATTTTTAATCATGGATTAAACTCAAAGTTGGTGTCAAATGATAGTTTATGAAATTCTAAGATAGGAATGTGAAATCGGTTTTCGTCTAAAATTAACCGTTTAGGTTTTACAGCCTGTCAAAGTTGCAAAAAGTCAATTTTCAACTGTCAATATTTCCGAAACAGTTGAACTTAGGTATAGGGTATATTACATGAAATCTGCTCAGAATTTTACGTTAAATCCAAATATGCAATCACATACAGGGTGTTCAATTTAAAAAATCAAAGTTCTTTCGCACACTCCATAAACGGAGCACCCTGTATATTCGAAAATATTTTTAACTAATGCACATTAGAGTATCAAACAATCATCATCACCCTGTAAAGAGATATCGTCCGATATCGCACTAAGTGGACACCCTGTATAATATGCAGTTTTTAAGCCTATATATAATTCTGTTGTGATTTATTAATGTTCTCTTTAACTGTTATTTACGTAATTTTTGGACTGACTTTAACCAATTTATACTTTTTTAATACAAATAAATATTGTCTATTATATGAACCAAAAAAATATATTTCGTTTTCCAGACACTTTTCCTATTTCACACAAAAAAAATTCACAGATTTCACAATTCTTGCAATCATCGGACATTGGAAATGATAACACCATTACATGGAACCTATTAAACAAATAATATACACTGTGTGCTAAATTTATTTGGAACCCAATTTGGCTCTGAATAATTTTTTGTTAATTGAGCGGATTTTTGTGAAATTTTGTGTGAATATTAGGGGGGCCTTTCCTTAATTGTATCTAGAAAAAATATATAATCAAAATGTACAGGGGGAGCCAAGTAAGAAGCAGTTCCTTTTAATCATTGCCTTTGGGGCTGTTGCAAAATTAAATTTTTCACTCTAAAACTACATAAATTATTTGGAAATATTAAGAAAATATTGGAAAGGAGACTATGAAAAAATGTTTCGGAAAACTTCAGGTTTTGTATTAAAAACGTATTTTTTTTGAAGACTTTGTTAAATAATATTACCATGAGTAATAGGGTTTTATTAAATAACAAATTAACATAGCGAAAAATAATTTTACAAAAACCTATAGTGAATATGCAGAGGCGCCGACTTTTGAAAGTCCTCATGGGTGCAGGAAAACTTTATAAATTTGTTTATAGAGGGAGGGTGAAGCTCGTCGTAGGCGCCGCCGGAGACGAAAATTTTTTTCTACGAGCTTGCGAGAAGTGCTTTTTTCTGCACGCATTTAGGCACTAGTGCGGAAAAGTAAAATAATTATGCAATGTTAAGTCACCCCAGGCCCTGCGATCTCTCATTGCCAGTTATAAACCACATAATAACTCTTTTCCGTTTTTCTAGATGTCGCTGACAACCACAGAATTGTCAAAATTGGAAAATACCAGAGGCACATCAAAAACACGTCCGATGTCGATAACTGGCATGTCAACATATGACAATATGCCAAAATATTCATTTGATCATAACTAATAATTCATAATGTTTTTTGTTCGCCGGTCTTGCATTTCATCTTTCTTTGTGTTGTCAAGTGTTCTTAAGTGCTTTCAAAGTTGTTTTGTGTGTTTCAAGAAGAACTTCAAACTTTATAGATTGGAAAATCTATTTTTATCTTTGTTGATTAGATAAATGACAGGTTCAATTAAACATTAATCAGAACTTTGAATAAATATGTTAAGGATACCCTTAATCATCGATAAAGAAACTGTCTTTTGATCTAATTAACAAATTATCAATTAATTTAAGCAAACATTATTGCCCCAAAGTCCAGAATAAACGAATTTGAACAGACCGACAGTAATGCGAACAGGGCGCCATCTATCATAAAAAGTCCTTTGTAAAGTAGGTGTCTGTAGCATCGATGCAAAACCAGTAAATAGTGATTTTCCGATATGGTAGATGGCGCTGGCTTGGCTCAATTTTGTTGACAACAAAATTTACACTGAGATTCCATTCTCGACAGTTTATATAGTATTTATCTCTGAGTCACCCTGATACTTTCATGTCCTGAAATGCGTGCGGAAATAGTATATTGTGCAACAAGTGTTGAAAATAGCACTTTTCACAAGCGTGGGGAAGTTTGGTGGCACGAGCCGCAGGCGAGTGGCACAAACCCCACGAGTGTGAAAAGTGCGTTTCACACGCGTTACACACTATACTTTTTCTACGACTGCGAAATAACTATAACTATATTCACATTGGAATTTATTTATTTATTTTTTTGTTGAAAAATTATTATTTGAAATTATAATCAACGAACAATTTTGGTACGTACGCTGAATGCACTCAGAGTTGCTTGTAGAACAAAAATTCAATGGAAGTGTCATTTTTATTTTAGCGTGCGAAAAGTACTTTTCGCACGGTCGGAGCGTGTGAAAAGTACTTTTCGCACGCTGTGCGAAATAATCGATTTTCTAGGTAAGTTAGTAGTGGAAATTACAAACCACATGGGCACGTACAGACGTGAAACGATGCCGTATATACCGACCCACAAGGTTATCCACCAGGTCCTACTGTAGGACCAACGGACCTCTGAGCCCTATCTACCCTCTCCACCATGACGATAGCTGTTAAGCCGAAAAAGGCAGCACATATAAACACCCAATTTTCATGTAAATAAATAATAACCACCAATTGTAAATAAAGGCTCATTGCCCCCGTATGCTATAAAGGTAACGGCTGTAAAAATTTGTATTATAGTAGTTCTAAGATTATTGTAGGTATATATATCATGATTATAAATGGCAAATACTTCATAAATAAATAAATAAATAAAATAAACTAAAGTTTCAAAAATGTACTCTTGGCGTAAAAATCAATTGCAAATTTCTATTTACATTTCCCTTTAACATTGGAAATGTTTTATGTTCTCGCAAAAGACGGTGGTGTCGCCAGGGGCGTGCGGTGAAATTTGAAGTACAGCGTTTGTCCTGTTGGATGAAGATTTCATTAAATGTTTCGAAAAACTTCAGGTTTTGTTTTAAAAACGTATTTTTTTTCGAAAACTTTGTCAAATAATATTACCATACAGCGTAATAGGGTTTTATTAAATAACAAAACAGAGACACTGTTAACATCGACTTACCTGTGAAAAAAAGAAGAGTGTGCGCCCAGAAAAACTTTATGAGAATACTCAGATCAATACGATTGATCTGCTCAAAGTGATAATAATAGTTTACTGTTGAGGTATCAATATAATCAAGAAATTATAAATAAGTCAATTTGGACAATGGCGCCGAAGACTCCAAGCTGTTGTACATAATCAGGGAGGTCATATTGACTGGCGCCGACTACATGGGGGCATCGGGGCAGGTGCACCCATGAGCAACTTCTCATGGGTGCGGAGCACCCATGGGAGCTCTTGTGGGAAATACAGAAGTACAAACGTGTTTAATGCTCATTTCGTTCCGGTAATATCCAGTATCATGTGAATTAAATGTATGTACACAACTTTTGTATAAGAATTATACAAGTGGTATGTGTGTGGTATTCTGTCCATCTGTCCTTCCGTTATTTGTGCTCTATTACTTTATGTTGCTATTCTCCATCTCTATTCTTTGTAATAATAATCGGGAAATCTGGCGCTTGCGCCGTCTGGTGGCCGTATCCTTTGGTACTAATCTTTATGTTATATCCTTTTTACCAGGTCGATTACCCCTGTTTGTGTAAATAAAGTCGCCCATATGGTGTATTTTTTCGCAAGATGGATTTTGACATTGAAAACTTTGAAACATAAACAATACTGCTTAGCCCTGATTGGTTGTAAATTGAGGTGTCCCTGAAGGTTGACATCAGTTTTACAATGCATGTCGTGCAAATGGCATTTTGCGACCAATAGGCGGCATTGTTTATGTTTCAAAGTTGACAATGTCAAAATCTATCTTCGGAAAAAATAAACTGTAGATTAGATAGACCCTATGGCGTGAAGTGAGTGACCCTGTCTTTTATGTTTTGATAAACTTTTTTCAAGAATCTTCATTTTCATTTGAGACAAGCAATCTATTCCAATATGGCCGTTTAGGTCAAATTGTGGTGACGTTCATAAAAAAAAGCATTTTTGTTCAGGGCCCTTATTGTTGTATATGCCAAAAATCAATATGACAATGCCAGTGTCAAACCTAAATGTCCAGAATGTGAGAAAATCTTGATAAAATAATAATTTTTTCATTGATTTCTAGATTTCTGTCAATAAACATGTAAACAACACGGTGTCTGACCTGAACTTCCATATTGAATTTCGTTTGACAGGTCATGAGATTGCCTAATACAATAATTTTTATTTGTAACACATAATACATAAATCATAGCAGGGATGGGCATCTACGCGTAAATAAAGATTGTCTACGTCTGGTGTAGACAACGCGTAGACAATGTAAACTATGTAATCTATGTAAACAACATGTAAAATATGTAGACAACGCGTAAAGTATACAATTTTTGACAGTTGTCAAGCCTTCAAGGTTATGTTTCTGTTTTTGCTTTGTTTTCGTTTATGCTCTGTAAAGTTAATTAAACCGCGGATAATGACTAATTTAATACAATATAAATGTAATCCAATGAAAACTTTCCAAAAAATAACTCCAATTCCAAATTTTCCTTTGTCTACACTAAAGTCTACATTTGTCTACATAGTTCAAGTTCACATAGTCTACACTTGGACAATCATAAGGGCCAAATTATGGACTGACTGGTAAACGTCTGGTTGTTACCTAGCAGGTACTTTCTATGCACTAGAGAATAGAAAGTACCTGCTAGCTAACAACCAGACACTTAACAGTTGGTCCATAATTTGGCCCTAAAACTGGTACGCATTTTCCTATTGTGTTGCATTGTGTAAATCGTCCTTTTTTATCACCTCACCAATGACAAAAAGAGTCATATCAGTGTCATATTTAAACCAATCACAACATAGAAACATTTTGCATTTACTTTTCCTCAGCTTTGACATTGACAAAAACTGTCTGACCTAAGTTTTTCAGAACAGACTTTTTGTTGTTAAGCCTGACTCACACAAGGCAAATTTAAAATATATATATTGCCTGTACCAGTTTTATGTTTGGCCAAGTGTACCATCGTCACCAAAAGTATCTGGGACACAAATAATGCATAATAATCTCCTGGACCAATTCTACTGTCACTCATTTCAATGCATTTAATTCATAGTTTGATGAATATTTGACAATAAAATTCATATAATAGGACAAGAGCTAATGTGATGCTGTCCCAGTTACTTTTGGTGACGATGGTACATGGAAAAAAATGGATGTAAACAATACGTAGATAACGAGTAGACAAACCGCGTAAAGTAGATTTCATAGTCTACGGCACATCCCTGCATCATAGTTTACATAAATATTATATTAAGTTAATTGTAGTGGCAGTGTAGTGCAAAGCCAACCAAACCCAAAAAAAAAAATGTATATTAATAAACTATATCGATAGATATATTTTAATCGATATTTTACATTCGATATATCGAAAAAAATATCGATATACCTAATAATCTTTTCGATATCTCAGAACTTTT